CATAAGTTTTTCTGAGCATAGTTGCAGTTGCTAGGTTATAAAGGACCAACAGCATGAACCAATGTGCTACAGCGCCACCCTGAGGCAGAGCAGTGCTGCAGCTCTAGTTAGTTATGAATATTAAAGACCTCTGCAACTGAATTTGAATGTCTATTTTTTCATAAAGGACAGCATAACTCTGTAATAAGTTTTTCAATTCATGAAAAATTCAATTTTCATTAATGTTTTTGAGGGGATCCAAGAGATTAATTACGGGGTCCTGGACCCCCAAGACACCTGTGTTTCATTTTTTCCTCAACTATCGCTTTAACGGATACCAGCACCTCCATTGCTGTAATATTCCTCTTGATTCCACAAATTATGTCTCAAAATGAAACATTAAATTCTGCTACAGCGAGCAGGAAGCACGAGCAGCTCATGCCGGCACTGACAGTGACGGATAACAGGTTTGAGCCCTGCGAGGGCAGTAATAGATTTCGGAGATGAGTTGTGTGTGTTGGGAGAACAGGGAAAAGAGCAGTAGTGAGGAACACTCTGACCTGTCAGCTGTCCACATCACATACCTCCGCAGGCGAAAGGTGCATCATGGTGGTCTGAAACTCAAGCGGACTCAAGAGTCCTTCCACAGGAGCGTGTTGTGTGCATAAAATTAGTACACATAAATTTCACTGACAGTTTTGTTATTCAGTTTCATCTTTGGCGTATCTGTGCAATCAAACTCACATTTAGTAGGAGTGCATGTTACCTTGGGCGTAAACGTTTAGCAACATGAAAAATATACTTGATTTTTATTGATGACAGCAATATCATCTACAATACCAATAATAAGAATAAAATAGAAAATGAATCATTTAAATAATAATAAATTATTCAATCTTATAATGATAGTCTTATGGCACTTCCCAGGCCACCATTGTAAATAAGAATATGTTCTAAATAAATTAAAAATAACAATAATCCTAATAATCTGTGCACATGGCAATCCAGTCCAAAAGTGAGTGTACTATTTTACATGCCCACTGGTGTAAACAAATGCTGCAACTCTTCCACGTTCCATATAAAGATTTTTTACACTGTGCTTTTGTTTTATAATACTGACTGTGTCCACAAAACAAACAATACAAAACACAGCTAGTGCAGTAGCCATGCATGTAATACAGCATTTAAATATGTTATTGTAGGAAAATAATCAAATTACACGTTAATTCCAGTTGTGGTAATTTTAACATTATACAGTTTGGTCAGTAGGGGGAGCAGTGCACTCACTGCTCGACCTCAAACTCTGCATACGAGCACAGCCATTGGCTCACGAGCCTCTACCTTCGGTTGTATTATTGGCCCCCTAGCAAAACATCTGTATGAATTAGGGCGTGCTTCACGTGAATGATATGTAAATGAGGTGCTGGTAGGCTGGTGCTTGATTTCACGCACTAAAGCTGATTAATCAGTTGCGCTCAAATCTATGCTCATTTCCACTTTGTGCAAAAGTAAAATTAATCAGATGCAGATATAGTGTTTACGCATCATTACAGGCAGACATATCTATGCTCTTTTTCACATAACTTTGATGAATAATGGCCAGTATGTGTAAATGTTGCTGTGCTCCACTGAACCAAACCCTAACCTTAACCTCAGCAACCAAAACATCAGCTTTCCTGTCTTTTATTTTTCCAATAAAAGCTGCACTTTTTTCTAGTGGAGAGCGTACCAATGTCCTCTCATCCAATGTTTTTATAATCCTGGGAGAACTGGAGACTGAAAAGATGCTTAATCAACTGCTCCATACCATCACTGGCACCATTCACCTTGTTCCACTGAGTAATTTCCATCAAATATCCATTTTGTGCCACTGTGTCTCTTGTAGATTGCAAAATTTTTGGCCTGTGAAAAAGTGAGCGGTTCCAATTTGGTAGACAGAATTTCCGAATTTGCAATGTCCTGCAATGTCATATGAGGCTACAAGTTATTGCTGACAGCAGTGCATCACCCTGCCAGTTCCAACACCCCCCCCCCATAGTGATACAAAACAAAAAGACCACAACCAACACTTCAACACCCTTCACCATAAAGCATACGTCCGCACAACACAGACACAGCTTCTGTCCAGTGAAGATGACATATCCGAGTTCATATCAGACAGCTGAGATGCACTAAGATGAGGAAAAAACTAAACCCAAAACACCTAAACCTAATCATCCTAGGCTAAAGCATACCGCCATGGCTGGCATAAAAAAAGTTTATGGACCATTTATGTCTTACCTTTGATGACTTGATGCATTGAAGCTTTGACATTTTGACTCATTTTTAGAGTTTGTAGTAAAAGTACATTGTGAACACCATATTCACAGACCACAGAAGACAACAATGCTTTTTTTATTTGTTTTGTCTTTGAGAAAGGGTAGAAAACAAGATATCTGGGATGGGATCTCACTTAGAAAACAAGACAAAACCTGGGACTAATTGATTGGTCAAACACTGTTCTCAGGAACAGAAATGGTCCCCCAAATCATTATTCCCTACATTGGAGCTCTATAGAACACTATTTTAGGAAACAGAAGTGGTCCCCTAATCACTATAGAACACTATTATAGGGAACAGAAATGGTCCCCTAATCACTGTTTCCTACAGTGGAGCACTAGAACACTACTAAAGGGAACCAATATGGTCCCTTAATCACTGTTTACTATAGTGGAGCACTAGAACACTACTATAGGAAACAGAAATGGTCCCCTAATCACTGTTCCCTACAGTGGAGCACTACAACACTACTAAAGGTAACCAATATGGTCCTCTAATCACTGTTCCCTATAGTGAAGCACTAGAACACTACTATAGGGAACAGAAATGGTCCCCTAGTCACTGTACCCTACAGTGGAGCACTGGAACACTACTAAAGGGAACCAAAATGGCCCCCTAATCACTGTACCCTACAGTGGTGTACTAGAACACTACTACAGGGAACAGATATGGTCCCCTAATCACTATAGAACACAATTTGGGACGCTGTGCAAAATGTAAATGAAAACAAAATGCATTGATGTGCAAATCATTTAAACCCTATATTTATTTTAAAATAGTACAAAGACAACATATCAAATGCTAAAACTGATCAAATTTATTGTTTTTTGAAAAATATATGGCCATTTTGAATTTGATGGCAGCAACACATTCCAAAAAAAGTTGGGACGGGGGTTTGTTTACCACTGTGTTTCATCACCTCTTCTTTTAACAACACTCTTTAACCATTTGGGAACTGAGGAGACCAATTGCTGTAGTTTGAAAGTGAAATGTTTTCCCGTTCTTACTTGACATAGGGTTTCAGCTGCTCAAGAGTTTGGGGTCTCTTTTGTCATATTTCTCATTTCATAAAGTGCCATATGTTTTCAGTGGGTGACAGATCTAGACTGCAGGCAGGCCAGTTTAGCACCCTAACTTTTTTACCATACAGCCATGTGCAGAATGTGGTTTGACACTGTCATCCTGAAATAAGCAAGGCCTTTCCTGAAAAAGACGTTGTCTGAATGGCACCATATGTTGCCAAAACCTGTATATATCGTTCAGCATTAATGGTGCCTTCACAGATGTGCCAGTCACCCATGCCATGTGCACTAATGCCCCCCCAGCCCATCATGGATGCTGGCTTTTGAACTGTGTGATGATAACAAGCCTGATGGTCTTTAGCCCGGAGGACACAGTGTCCATGATTGCCAAAAAGAATTTAAAATTTTTATTCGTTGGACCACAGGACACTTTTTCACTTCCCCTCAGTCCATCTCAGTTTAGCTCAGGCCCAGAGAAGGTGCCGGCATTTCTGGGTCTCCTTTATATATGATTTCTTCTTTGCGTTTTAGAATTTTAACTTGCATTTATGGATGCCATGATAAACTGTGTTCACAGACAGTGGTTTTCAGAAGTGTTCCTGAGCCCATGCAGTGATTTCCACTAGAGAATCATGTCTGTTTTTAATGCAGTGCTGCTTGCGGGCCGCACTGATCTTGGCTAGCCCATATTGATTTTCGGCCTTGTACCTTGCATACAAAGATTTCTAAAGATTCTCTGAATTGTTATTATATACAGTAGATGATGAAATCCCCAAGTTCTTTGTTATTTTACATTGAGAAAGGTTATTCTTGAATTGTTGCACTATTTGCCCACACAGTCTTTCACAGAGAAGTGAACTCGTCCTCATCTTTACTTCTGAAAGACTCAGCCTCTCTGAGATGCTCTTTTTCTACCCAGTGATGCTACTGACGTGTTGCCAATTAACCTTCAGGTGTTTTTTTTAGCATTACAAAACCTTACCAGTCTTTTATTGCCCCGTCCCAACTTTTTTGGAACGTGTTGCTGCCATAAAATTTAAAATGGGCATATATTTTTCAAAAAAACTATTTTAGCATTTGATATGTTGTCTTTGTACTATTTTCAATTAAATATAACGTTTAAATTATTTACACATCAATGCATTTTGTTTTCATTTACATTTTGCACAGTGTCCCAACTTTTTTGGAACATTGAACAGAAGTGGTCCCCTAATCACTGTTCCCTACAGGAGGTCACTATGTAGAACACTATTATAAGGAATAGTAATAGTCCCCTAATCACTATAAAACACTACTATATTATAGTGAACAGAAATGGTCTCCTAATCACTGCTCCCTACAGTGGAGCACTACGTAGAACACTATTATAAAGAACAGAAATGGCCCCAAATCACTGTTCCCCACTTTGGAGCACTAGAACACTATAATAAGGAACAGAAATGGTCCTCTAATCATTATAAGAACGCTATAATTTTACAGTACACAGAAATGGTCAGTGCATTATGGGTATTCTGTGACTGCTGGGGTGCATCGTTTGTACTCTACCTATTGTGGTGTATTGTGGGATTGTGAAAGTGCTGGATATTATCCAATATGTTTTTGGACCACCGGTTGGCAGACTCCCAAAATGGTGCACTATGCAGTGAATAGGGCATTGTTCTGGACACAGCCGGCCTCTACCTCTTGTCAGCAGGTGGAGTTTCTTGATTGGCCGGTTTCTCCTGCAGGTCTGGCAGGTTGGCAAAGTCGTCCTGTTCAGCCAATCCGATCGCTAGTGACAGCACCACCATCTTCCCCTCCCTGCAGGACACACATGCGGACACACAATCAGCCGTGTGCAGCAGAAGACGCTCTTTATGAGAAAGATTTGAAAAGAGGAGGAACAGTAAAGTGGTAGGAGGTGGTAAAAATGTAAAGTAGGTCAGGTTAGAAGTAGAGAAACATCCAGGGTAAATACGTGAGACTCAATGTGACGTGATGTTCTCTCTCTTTCTCTCTCTCTCTCGTCCACACATACACACAGGAACGCTGGCAGCGTCCTGAAGCTGCTCATGCCTCAGCGTTCGATCTGCCTCAAGCAGTGTTAGTGACTCACTCTTTCCTGCCACTCGTCCTCCTCTCCTGCCCTCCTTCTTTCCCGCTGTTCTTCTCTCCTGAGCTGCGCATATTGTGGCCTCCGCATTCAGTTCAGTCTGAACTGTGAGCCTGTTTAACCTTCTCATCAAAACAACATATACTGACACTATGGGTTTAACTACAATGCAATTCAATTGGATTACTTTCTTAGCATTCCAAATTAATTTTTTTAATAATACAAAATACACAACTGTGACTAGTTACACACTGGTGGAAAATAAAAAATATAGAAGCCAATTGTATAATAGCCTGCAGATAAAATTGACCCACTGACTAATAGAATGGGATGCTCAGGAGCTGCTGCACATGACCCTAAGGTCACCAGGCCCAATGCCAAGCGTGGACTAAAGGGGTATAAAGCCCCCCCCCAGCATTGGGCTGTGTTCTCTGGAGTGATGGAACTCCATCCAATACCTTTGGGATGAGTTGGAGTGATCCAGAACTGATCATCCAACATCAGTACCTGACCTCACTAATGCTTTTGTGAATGCTGAATACACTCATATCATCAAAGACTTAGTTAAAAAGGAATGCTACTGAAATATTTCAAAATATTCTGCATAATTAAGTGGTTAAGATGTAAACAGCGTCATTCAGAGTGGTTTGGTGTGAAATGCTCTGTTCTAGAGAAACTTACCGACTCAGAATTGTTCACAGTGGTGGTGATAGGAACCAGACATCCACCACTGACAGCTCCCTCACAGAAAGTTATTACATGAAATGGTTATGAATACACTGCCTGATGTCTGAGACACTGTTTTACGATAGAACATTCATGGTGGAGGGATACATGCAGGATGTTGCGAGGCAAGATAGTCTAAATGATACTTACTTTTTAGAATTTCCACTGTTTTGCCATCATCAACATTCCATATAAAACTCAGAGGACATGTGTAGGTTCACTGGTGGTTTCAGATAGTAAATAAAATGTCTATATCTGTGTTGTAGTCATGGTGACCCCTGGTTCCTATCACCACCACTGTAAAGAAATCTGAACCATTTCACAGCAAACCACTCTGAATCACTCTGTTTACATCTCACACACTGAATTAGCAGATCATGAATTCAAACCCCAGTGATGCTACAACCATCCATGGCTGGGAGTCCAAGAGAGAACAATCAGCCTCGTTCTTTCCCATCACTCAGCGTGATGCTAGCCAGCACAGATGTCTGTTAGCTGACATATCACAACAACTGGTGGTTAGTGTTCTCCTCCAAGTGCGTTCGACTGTCCAATGACAATGCATCAGCGGCAGTTTGAAAAGAAGCAATGATGCTTCACAGGACTCAGAGAAGACTTGTATTTGTCTAGCGCTGGTGGTATCGAGTGACTGGGGGAGTCTTAACTAGTGGGTGAAACTGGATACGACCAAATTGGGGAGAAAATTGAGGGCACTTCACTCCAGATCCACACAGGTCCATGCAAAAGGAAAAAAAAACAGAAAACACCAACCAGGCCTGAATAATCTGACCCAGTTCCATCTTTTTTTGGATAAATGAGAAGTTATTTGAAGTCTGTCCTTTGAAAGCTATCATTACGAGGCATTTAAAGAAGAAAAAACGAATAGGATCCTGTGATCTTTTCCCTCTCTGTATCTCCTTCCCACTCTCCTCGCTCCTCCACTCTCTCTGTTCTCTGCCACTCTTTCTTCATCATTATTTCTATTGTTGTTTTTCTCTGCGCTCATATATCTATAAAGAAAGGCCTGCTGCAGCCCGCTAGTTCAAAAGCTTTTACTCCAGAGTGTAGTATCTGGCCGTTTGAGCGCGGCTCTCTCAGCACAATGGCCAAAATCACTCGGCTTCCTCGGCGAGGGCAGGAGTTTAATTGCCTGTCAGACAATCATAAGTACTGAAGCCAGACTCTTCTCTGTTCAGGTGGATCTGCGCAAAGGAAGCTTATTACGAGCAGGCCTAGAGCTAGCTAGCATCTGCAGAGCGAAATGGGAAGGCAATGGGAAGATAAGCCAAATATATTTATCTGCTAATGCATATGAGGCCGTGGACTTGCAGATGATTAAATTCGAGGCATGAGGCACTTTCAGGCTGTGCTGATTTTTTTTTGTTTATTACCACAACGTAAATTATGCTGTCACTTTAAAACACAACCACTTTTACTCTGTTACAGGCTAAATTGAATTTTATGTTGTCTTTAAAGGGTCCTCGCTTTTTTAAAAATAACAGTGAAAAATACAGTTTCAAAATACAGTCCATACATCCAAACTAAGCTGCATAAACAGCACTGTTTTTGTGATGTTACAAAAACCGAACCATTCACATATATCCTGCAGTGTAGCCCCACCTACTCACACTGAAGTTGTAAGGAGTGTTTCAGCCTAGATTGCTTTTTGAGCGAGGCACAAAACAGGGCAGCCAATCAGAACAGAGCTCATTTATATATATTATTACATATCTTAAAGGAAAAAGTAACAAAAACGGACTGTTTAATTCTAAAGGATAAAGACAAAATACAACATACATACAATATAAATAGAGAAGTGTGAGATGTGGGCTCTTTAAATGGTAACACAATAGAAATCATGCTAATGTTACAAAACTGATCTACCATTTTCAGCAACTTTTAGGCTAAAATGAACTTTTATTTTGCCTTTAAAGGGCCTGTGTCATGGAACACTTGCTCCCAGTCCATACAGTCCACATATGGATACTACGCTGCAAAAACAGCCCATGCTGAATTTATTTTGTGATGTCATACAAACCAACACATTTTTACACATGAGCATTCAAAAGTTTGAAACAACTTGCCATACATTTTTTGTTATTTTCTACACAATAATTTTATACAGGGAGATTCACTCGAAGGAAGCCCCAAATATTCTGTTATAACTCTTGCTAAGATGAAGCAATCTGAACGAAACAACATGCAATGTGCTCCTCAGTATATGGAGCTTTGAACAAGCAGGGATGCTCCTGCATCGAAGTGATGAGGTAAGTGCCAGACAGCCACCGCGACTTTCAACCTCCGTTGGCAGAGATCCCTTCCAGCATCGCATGTAATGCAATCGATTACACATACGTCAAGGTATGTAGCGTATTTTTTTGGTTCAGGTTGCTTCATCATAACAGAGTTATAACAATCACCTCTTTCGAGTGAACCTCCCTGTATATATCTGAATTGGAATGTCAATAAATAAAAAAGTGTATTTTTAGATGTTTATTCGAATTATGACTGTATTTGATAAAGAAACGTTATTCTGAGGGGGATAAATACATTATTATAAGTGTGGATATTTTTTATCTTTAAAAGGTTCTACAATAGAATCCATGCTGACGTTTCAAAACTGAACTACTCTGCCTCTTTCACTCTGTTACACACCATTACAAACCTTCATGACCTGCTTTAACATCCTCCTACTTCTCTCTCTCTCTCTCTTGCTATCTCTCTTTTTGTTCTTTCTCTTCTCTTTGACAGTCGGTAGTGGGAGTAATGATGCTGAAGATAGGAGATCACTGCTCAGTTCATCTGCTAACAGCCACACACACACACACACACACAGACCAGCACTGTTCTTAACAGAATGGTTCAGTGCAAAGTCAAATTTACTCAATTGTCCACTTACGGCAAATGTAATCAATGGTTGGTACAGTTTAGCGCAGAAGCTACGAGGCTAACATCGCTAACAAACACTACAACTCAACTGTCACCCATTTTTTCTGTAAATACATCCTCAGCACTCTCAACTCACTCAAACTGCATCCAGGTCGTTGTTAAGGTTTCACAGACTTGACTTAAAGTGTGACTCTGAATATTAAAAATGAACACAACACAGTAAAAAAAAGCTATGGATCCCTGCTGGTGACATCATATATTAATAAAAATGTGCGTGGCCACAACTTCGTAATGGGATCCTAATGTGTGGACCCCATTTGGTAAAGTTATGGCCCTGACTTAGTAAAGCATAGGAATGACATTATTATCTCATCCTCACGCCTTTCTAAGTCATAGCCACAGCCTAACTATCAAACTGAATTATCTCATTTACGTGTTTTACCTAATCTTAGCAACAGCTTAGTTATCTCATTCACATGCTTTACTAAACTGTGGAGACAGCTTAACTATCTCATTCTTGTGCCTTACTAAACTGTGACCACATCTTAATTATCTCATTAGTGTGCCTTACTAAGTTATGGCCACACCTTAACTATCTCATTCTCGTTTCGTACTAAGTTGTGGACACAGCTTAACTATCTCATTCTCGTGCCTTACTAAGTTGTGGCCATAGCTTAACTATCTCATTCCCATGACTTACTAAACTGTGACCACATCTTAATTATCTCATTCCTGTGCCTTACCAAGTCATGGCCACACCTTAACTATCTCATTCTTGTGTCTTACTAAGTCATGCTCACAGCTTAACAATCTCATTCCCGTGCCTTACTAAGTCATGGCCAGAGCTTAACTATCTCATTCCCGTGCTTTACCAAGTTGTGGACACAGCATAACTATCTCTTTCCCATGTATTACTAAGTTGTGGACACAGCTTAACTATCTCATTCCTATGCTTTACTAAGTCATGGACACAACTTACCTATCTTATTCCCGTGCCTTACTTAATCATAGTTCAGCTGTGGCTATCTCATTTCCTGTGCCTTACTTAATCATAGCCACAGCTTAACTATCTAATTCCTGTGCCTTACTTAAT